ATTATAATTTTAGTTTTTATTTAAATAAGAACAATTTCTTTTGCTATTTTAAAACACTTTTCGGTTTCAGAGCTTTTTTGCAACATTTAAGAAAAAAATGGCCTAACTTTTTTTTTGAAAAAAAAAGGCTTTTTATACCTACTGCATCCTGGCTGATTCTACTAAATTGAAATCTAAAAATAAACTGTCTGTCAAATTGTTTATTCATTTTTTAGAATTTTCAAAGGTTACGCTTTGTACAATTCCTAGAAAAACAGATAGTTTCAAGTAACAATAAAGTACATGTTTTGTTAGGTGCGGTTTAATGTGTACATAACATAGATATACATTATACAATTTAGCTAGTGCCATAGCTAAATTGCCATTTTCAATTTCAACTGTAACCCTCCGGTATGGTGAAGACAACATAAGCGATCTATATTCTTGTATATCTATGGTACATAAAGTATAATTGTACTGTAGGGTATCCGAGCAAGTACATTAGATGCGTGTACATACACCACACGCTGCCAGAACAATGGAAGATGTATAGCTACAGATCAGGTAATAGATAGATAGATACAAACAGGACATATTTTAATTGTATGTGGTGTTCCCCAGGGAAGTGTTGGACCCTACTATTTCTCATATACATAAACGATTTGCCTTTAGCAACGTCTTTTTTACTAATCTATTTGCTGTTGACACTATTTTTTAAAAATCATTTCCAAATATCGAAACTTTAGTAATTGATGCAAACTTTGAACTAAAAAATTCAGCTGCATGGTTTCAGGCAAACCGTTTAACATTAAATGTTTCCAAAATAAAGTTTATGATATTTAGGAATACAAATATGCATTTTGATCCTAATCACTAAAAATTAAAAATCGGAAATGAGATTGTTAGACTTAAAATTGATGAATTTTTAAATTGGGACTATCAAATTGAACATGTTTCCATTAAGATTGCTAGCTCAAGTTTTGCTCTGAATCATTAGATTAAAAAATATTTTACCATTGAACATTCGTCTACTAGTTTATAATGCACTTTTATTGGGGGTGAGGGGCGTAAAAAATACTAAACTACAGAAAATTAAATCTGCAGTAAATAATAGTTTATGTCAGACACATTCAAATCCAATTTTTTTCATATTAGAACTTCTACATCTTGATGATACATATAAACTAGGTGTTCTATTTTTTAAGCATAAATACTTTTATGTAAGCCTTCCAACTTCCTTTCATGATATGTTTAATTCTTAAACTGAACAAAATCATTTAAACTTGAGCGGGTTCTTTTTAAAGCTCTAGAATGTTTTCCTTCCGCTTTATTTCCAAAATTATGGAATTCGATAGAATTAAAGCTTGAAGAAACTAAATCTGTAAAATCATTTTTTAAAAAGTCACCAAGAACTATTTACATAATTATGCAAGTTATATCTGTAAAAATAATCTGTTTTTCATGCTGATAAGCTTAGTTTTTACTATCTTCTTCACCCTGTAGTTCATAAACATGATTCTAATAATACATGTTACCCTCTGTTCCAACCCTTCCGCCGCTTTACCTTTTTTCTGATTTATCATTACTATGTTTAAATATACACTGTACGTACAGTGTACAGTGTACACCCATGTATTTATCTACAATTCTCATTCTCTTATAATGAGCCAACCAATTAAAACAACCTACTCTGGTTAGGCGGTTCCAAACTACATAGTAATTGTGATTTTTTATTTGTATTATCTCGTGCTTTGTAGTTGAATTAAAATATGAATAAAGTAATCATCAATAAACTGAATGAAGGAGATAAACTGAGAATAAATCCCTAAAACTTTATTTACTAATTAAATACAATTTATATAAATAGAAAATATTCCAGGGACCAACTTGCGACTGTGAAAGAACAAACTTCACTGGAATTTATTGTGAAACAAGTAAGTTTGGAAAAGTTAAAAAAAAATATTTAATTTGCCTTATTTTTTAGAATTTTTTTTCATCTTTGATGCAGTTTTATAACTTTTTTTTTCTGCACAAAAGAATTTTTTTAATTTATTGCGTATTTTATCAATTTCCTGGAAAGAAACTGAGTTCTTGCGACAAACCATGATTTTCTAATCCCTATATCTTGGGATTCCGATGTTGCAGACCTCTGATATTTCAAACTTTGAATTCTGTTAGATCAAAAATTTAAAAATATCAAAGGTTTATACCATTAATTTGCAATGATATAGGGATTAGAAAATTTGAATTTGTGGCAAAAACTCAATTCCTTTGGACCATTCTAGAACTGGATTATTTATAGAATAATTAATATATTCTAGAACTGGATTGTTTATAGAATAATTAATATATTCTAGAACTGGATTGTTTATAGAATAATTAATATATTCTAGAACTGGATTGTTTATAGAATAATTAAATATTCTAGAACTAGATTGTTTATAGAATTAATATATTCTAGAACTGGAAGTACCTGAAACTTTTTTCAACGGAAGAAATGGAATCATTTTTCAACTTCGCAAAGGTAATAAGTTTTAAATCATATTTTGGAATATTTTAGATTTATTTTAAACTTTGAGTTCAGTTCAGTATTAGTTTCGAGTTAAGTGTAAAAGGTTTAAAAATGAATGGTTTGAAATTGGTGGTTTAAAGACTTCATTGTTTAAAGCTTGAAAGTTTTAATTTTGAACGCTTCAAGTTGAAAATGTGTTAACTGAAATAATTGTATATAGGCAGATGTAAGTAAAGTTTTGTACTTGATCATTTTAAAGTGTTCAACCTGATTTTTAACATCAATGTTAATATGGTTTTAAACCTGAAGATATAAACTTGAAGATTTTAGACAAAAATATTTTCAACTTGAAGGTTTTGAGGTTGAAGGTCATGAACTTGAAAGTTTTAATCTTGAAGGTTTTAGACAAAAATATTTTGAACTTGAAAGTTTTAATCTTGAAGGTTTTGAACTGAAAGGTTTGAACTTGAAGGTCTAAAAGGTTTTAAAATGGAAGGTTTCTAACTTGAAGATTTTGAACTGAAAGGTTTTGAACTGGAAGGTTTCNCACAGAATATAATTCAAGGAAACAGGTTGTTTCTCATGTTTAACAATGTCTAGGGGTTTAGTCACAGAATATAATTCAAGGAAACAGGTTGTTTCTCATGTTTAACAATGTCTAGGGGTTTAGTCACAGAATATAATTCAAGGAAACAGGTTGTTTCTCATGTTTAACAATGTCTAGGGGTTTAGTCACAGAATATAATTCAAGGTAACGGGTTGTTTCTCATGTTTAACAATGTCTAGGGGTTTAGTCACAGAATATAATTCAAGGAAACAGGTTGTTTCTCATGTTTAACAATGTCTAGGGGTTTAGTCACAGAATATAATTTAAGGAAACAGGTTGTTTCTCATGTTTAACAATGTCTAGGGGTTTAGTCACAGAATATAATTTAAGGAAACAGGTTGTTACTCATGTTTAACAATGTCCAGGGGTTTAGTCACAGAATATAATTAAAGGAAACAGGTTGTTACTCATGTTTAACAATGTCTAGGGGTTTAGTCACAGAATATAATTTCAAATTACCTTAAACTCTAATTTTCTAAAATTGCTTTAATTTTCTTAAATCTTTATAACCTGATATCGCATCCTTGTTATTTTAAAATATTAATTTTGTTAAATCTAATAGCCATAGTTTAAAATATCGAAGATTTACACCATCAGGTTGGAAAGATAAAGCACTTAGAAAACTTCAGGCAAAGGTTCCTGATTTTCTGTTACACTACCTTATTACAAAAAAAGACTGTACACATAAAAATATATTTAATATGGCGAAATAAAGACATTAAACTTTGGTATCTTTACAAAATTATTAGATACACAGGTATTTTATTTTAAAGTTTTTAAATTCAATTTTCTTTTTTTAAAGTCATTCTGTTCAATTTAATTTTAGGAATGACTGTATTTCTTAAAAATGACTTTGCTAAAAAATCTGCTAACTGTACAGTTTTATTTATTGCACTTTGTACACGAATGGAGAATCCACTGATAAAAGGTTAAAAAATGTGAAATAAAAACCTCTAAATATTTGTGTTGACAGTGTACTGACGTGAACTGCACTGCAGTTTATGTTTAATAGGCAAAAGTGCAACTTACCGGAGTTTGTTTACATTTAGTTATATTCCTCCCAAAAAAATGCAGTACGCTCTTTATGTGTTATAAATGAAACAATAAAATTCTTTAGACAATTTACTTTCGTACTTTCACACTTGTCTTTTGATACAATTTCAGTGCATAAGTAAACCCGAAACAACTAAAACTCTTTATTGATTGATTGATTGATTAATTGATTGATTGATTGATTGATTAACTGTTTGATCAATCTTTAATCAAATATGCATCATTGTGCGTGAGCATCCTCAAGGATTAGTTTTTGAAACAAAGTTTTGAATAATTTTTCAATTGGTTAAAGAGATCTAAATATAATCTTACAAAACTGTTATTTATGTGGAAACGATTAAAAAAAACATTATTTCTGATCAAAGAGACTCCAGACGTATTTTTAAGTGACTGCAAGAACCAATGCTTCAAAATAATCATTTTTTAGCCATACAAAAAAGGATATCTCATTTGTTAAAGACCAGATAAAGTTTTAAACAATGTGAATCGGACATGCCAGCTTATAAATGGAGGGTCACTTGAAATTATGTCTTCAACACCTTAGATTAGCTAGGGTAAAATCTAAGATCTACGATTTTTCCATAATTTGAATTAGCAAGAGATATTATTGCCTGCCAATCAAATCATGAAACTTCATCTTCATATATAATTGATTAACATAATGTTCCATATATATATCTACGTTTATCCAATTAACAAATAGATATATAGATATATATATAGATATATATAGATATATAATTGATTAACATAATGTTCCATATATATATCTACGTTTATCCAATTAACAAATAGATATGGAAATATTCCAACTAACTATGAAGAAGAAATAAGAATAGAATTTTACATTTTAGAATTTTAAAAAAGCAAAACATCTTTTCGCTTTAACTTTAATTGATTCAAAAAATACTCACAACAGAAATCAAGGCTACTTTGAGCAACAATGTTTTCCCGTTTTTACAGAATGTGAATATTTTTTCTTATTTGTAGTTTTGTATAGTGCTTTTCTGAAAGATAAAAAGTTTATTTTTCGATACAGAAAATTGTTCAAACGTGTAAAGTTCTGGTTAGTTTTGCTTAACTAAAGTCTGAACATGTTTAGCTCTTGTTAAAACTGTGTGAGTTCCAGCGCTGTTTTTTAAATTTTGGCTTTTATTTTGTTTATTTTAAGTGATATAAACCAACCAATCCAGAAATAAATCTATAACTGTTCAAAGTTTTATCTAAAGAAAGAATAAGTTTATCCTGAAATGTTTGTTATCGAGATATTTCGTTATAGACGCCAATTCTACAGTTAAGTCTTCAATTCAAACCAAACCATTTCTTCCCAAAAAACAATTTAAATTTAGAAAACAAAACCACGTTTGAAAACCAATCAATTTTCATTCTTCCAAACCAAACCATTTCCATTCTTCCAAACCAAACCATTTCAATTCTTCCAAACCAAACCATTTCAATTCTTCCAAAAAAAACTATTTTCATTCTTCCAAACAAAACCAATTTTATTCCTACAAACCAATGTCCATTCTTCCAAACCAAACTATTTCCAATCTTCCAAACCAATCCATGTCCATTCTTCCAAACAAAACCATTTCCATTTTCCAGGTAAACCATTTCCATTCTTCCAAACCAAACCATTTTTATGCTACAATTAGGAATATTCTTATAAAACATTTCGACCGAAATAATTGTATTTTCTCTTGTTTAAGTTTACCAATTCTCTTTTGTTTAAGTTTACCAATTCTCTCTTGTTTAAGTTTACCAATTCTCTCTTGTTTAAGTTTACCGATTCTCTCCTTGTTTAAGTTTACCTTTTCTCTCTTGTTTAAGTTTACCAATTCTCTCTTGTTTAAGTTTACCAATTCTCTCTTTTTTAGGTTTACCAATTCTCTCTTTTTTAGGTTTACCAATTCTCTCTTGTTTAGGTTTACCAATTCTCTCTTGTTTACTCTCTTGTTTAAGTTTACCAATTCTCTCTTGTTTAGGTTTACCAATTCTCTCGCTGGAGGATAAAATTTCATTTTATTTTAAAACCCAGAAATCCTCTGGTATTCTCTTCTACACAGGTAATATACTATTTGCAAGGGAAAAAATAAATTGTCCAAATTGTTTCTTATCATGCTGATGTAACCCACATTTAAAGAAGAAAAAATTGCTTTCCGATACTTTCATCTTGCACGCAGTTTAATTTGCCCTGTAAACCTAAGAAAATTAACGAAAATGTAAAAAAAGATTTTCATTAAAGGGATTGTGGCGTATTTTCAATATGTTTACAATTGTAATTTTGATAAATGTTTTATGGGTAGGGAATCCGTAAAGGGACAGTAGGCGTAATAATAAAGGACCCTCTATGCAAAGATAACAATGCCTATTTACACCTGTACCCTAGAAACCATAATCTTATTAAAAATGTGGAAGACGACGCCGTTTTATGATTCGAAAATTAAGAAAAAAAACATCCTGGTACAGGATTGAAAGCCAGAAAATTGAGAAATTGTTGGCAGGAGTTCGGAGAATAAATCCTTAATCCCTGTTTGATAATAAATATATATTTTGAGTCCGCCTTTAATTAAAGTTAGAGCTTGAAAGCATGTACTTTTATTCTTCAAGTTTGCATTTAATTAAGTTTACTGGAACCAGAAATGAAAAGAGGGATTCCTTGTACAGCAATATCAATAAAATAACTCAACATGGAAGTTAAGGAAGTTTCACAAATTATGCTGCGGAAATTTTATTTAAAATTCGGTTTAGATCAGAAGAAAATTCTCGAGGTAATTTTTTTTCCGTCATTTTTCTGCTTTAAATTTTTAAGCCATCTACTATATTCCAGGGCATGCCAGTGATTTTGTGCTGATCTTTCTGAAAGAAGGGAAAATAGGTCTAACCATTCATCTTAATTCGGGACAATTGGACACTGCAATTAAGGTAAATTATCATAAAAAAGTAAAAAATTCTTTTACAAAAACAACTCTTTATTTAGCCAATAGGGGAATTCTTCAACGATAACCATTGGCATGAAGTGGTATTGACCAGGAAAACGAGTCAGGTAAATTTTGAATTTGTTTTTATTACTTGAAAAATGCGCGAAACTATAAATCAACTGTTTTCAAGATGGCGGACGGTCAGACAATGTGCCATGTGACCCTTCTAGTGGACGAGAAGTATTCTGAAACCTGGAGGTCTGTTGGCCATCAAAAGTACATCTTGACAACCAAAAGTAAGTAATCTCTTTTACTATATAAAATAAAGAACTGTTTTTAACAAATTATTTCTCTTATTTGAGATAGTTTCACCCCCGCCATCTTGTTTAGTTTTGTTTGGTGGAAGTGATGAAGAGAACCAGGAGAAGGTTCTGGAACCAATCTATAATCTAATTGGTTGCATGAAGATGGTAAGTATAGGGTTCAAGGTTAACAAACTTCTACTCGGACCAAACACTTTATATTTTCTCTAATTTAGACCGAATGGTTTTGCGGACAATGTATTGTATTCTTGCATTGAAACTTTCCCAAAAGTTTGCAGTACACTCACTGCTTCTGCACCTCATTTAAACTGCATCCCGGAAATACATTTTAGTAAAAATAAAAGTGTAAATAAATATCATTCGAATCTTTGTAAAGAAGAACCCCTTTGCAACGCAATGGTGCATGGTATCTTCTATATATAAAGTTGTAATCTCTGTTTGTCTGTCTGTTTGTTTGTCCGATCAGAAATCAGAAATCCCTGGACCGATGTGCCTCAAATTTTTATTGGGGAACTCGGGAGAGCCACTGAAATGTTTTAATTGGTTTTGAGATTTTATTTTCACGGGAGAAATAGCTAAAACGACAAAGCGCGGGTAATCGGTGGACTTTCTATGACTTCAACTGGGCCACGCTTGGTTTCTAAGCTAGTGTTGTATAAAATAGCCAAAAATCTTAAAATATATTATTTTGGTTTGTTGGTTTATAGGACACAACTGATGAATTAATAATCAGTCAATATGGATTAGATAACTTAAAAAAAAATATTATTTTACTTTCTAAATTTCGCTAATTTTAACAAATAATAATTGTAAAAGTAGTTTTTGAAGTGGAAGCTATAAATACTTATTATTGTTCCATTACTATTTGTATATTTATAGGTTTAATATGAGGCTGGATCTATTTATTTGTATATATCTAGGTTTACTATGAAGCTGGATCTATATATTTGTATATATCTAGGTCTACTATGAGGCTGGATCTATATATTTGTATATATTTAGGTTTACTATGAGGCTGGATCTATATATTTGTATATATCTAGGTCTACTATGAGGCTGGATCTATATATTTGTATATATCTAGGTCTACTATGATGCTGGATCTATATATTTGTATATATCTTGGTCTACTATGAGGCTGGATCTATATATTTGTATATATCTAGGTCTACTATGAGTCTGGATCTATATATTTGTATATATCTAGGTCTACTATGAGGCTGGATCTATCAAATTGAACCTAATATCTCTGGCTAAAAATAACCAACAGAGCGTGATTAAACTTGGACATATTGATTTTAAATGCCAGGTTGGGTAAAATTATATTTATTTTAAAATTTTCTAAATTAGCAAAAATATACATTATACAAGCTACAGGATACACACCACAGTGAGACCCAAAAAACTGGGGAATAAGAAGACGACCGTTAGACCTAAGTCATGTTTTTTAACTGTTCATTAAACTGAATTCACACCTATTTCACTTATTAAGTTTAAATGATATTTTTTATTAGATTCCATCTTCCTATTTCACATTTTTATGTGTCCCACTGTATACAGACAGGACAGTAGTAGTCTCTGTTTAATTTCCAGGATTGGGAGGTTAGAGGGATTGTTTATATCTAACTTTAACGAATCAGAGCCCGCGATTTAAAAGCTTCGGCTCAAGTCTTAATTCCTTAAACGCAGCTTTAAGACCCAATCTTAGACCCAACTCTGACGACAGCTTGTGGAGCTTGTGTCACGTGATTGACAGCTGCGAGATCTTAGGCTCGACTTAAGGAGTTATGCCCAATGAAAATAAAACCGACCTTGGTTGGTTTTAGTGAAGAACAAGGCTTAATGTTGGGTCTTATTTTCATCAAAACCCGGAATGCACCAATTCCAACTATGAAAATCCGCCAAATACAACATTAAACCGGTTCCATGAACTAAATTCTGTTGAAAAATAGATGCAACTTAAATTCGAAAGCCCGAGCCGTAAATAAGGCTCAACAACAGCTTAGACCCGAGTCGTATTTTCTTGAATTTTTTAAATCGCAGGCTCTGTACTCCTTAAAATCTTGTCTAAAAAATTATTTCAGAAGCCTGGATTTCGTATTTATTCCAGAAAAATTCAAACCTTTGTTAGTGTTTTGAAAATAATATGTTAAAGTGAATTGTGAACACAAACTCTATCCCTCTCACCTAAGGTCTTTGCTTCGCATTGTTATCAAAAATTTTATATTTATTTTGTATTTTATGATTTCTCTAGGATTTACGAACATCAGTCCCACTACCCTACGTGGATTTTATCAACCAGGACAAAATTTCGATGGTAAGATTTTGTTAAAAAGAGAAACAAGAAAATTAAATATTTGGTTTTAATGCAAGCAATTTGTTAAAGGAGGAGGACAGTTCTGATTACAGCCAAGTTATTTCACTTTCTGCTAAAAATTCGTATCTGGTAAGAATAGCTTTATAACTGTACATTATACAGGGGGGCCTATAAAGGACTTCACAGACGACTGTACGTAATCTATTTATCCTTTTATGCTTAAACTTATATTCCCTTGAAGCTTTAAACTTAGTTTTTTTCTTTTCCAGATTTATTTTTTCCACAGATATTCTCCCAGAGTTTCAGGTCGTCAATATATTCCCATTCTTTGCGGGTAACCCTGGACTCTGGAGATATAGTCTTGATATATTGTTAACAGCGTGCTACCATGGAGATATAGTCTTGATATATGTATAACAGCGTGCTACCCTGGAGAAATAGTCTTGATATATTTATAACAGCGTGCTACCCTGGAGATATAGTCTTGATATATTTATAACAGCGTGCTACCCTGGGGACATAGTCTTGATATATTTATAACAGCGTGCTACCCTGGAGATATAGTCTTGATATATTTATAACAGCGTGCTACCCTGGGGACATAGTCTTGATATATTTATACCAGCGTGCTACCCTGGAGATATAGTCTTGATATATTTATAACAGCGTGCTACCCTGGAGATATAGTCTTGATATATTTAAAACAGCGTTGCTACCCTGGAGATATAGTCTTGATATATTTATAACAGCGTGCTACCCAGGAGATACAGTCTTGATATATCTATAACAGCGTGCTACCCTGGAGATACAGTCTTGATATATCTATAACAGCGTGCTACCCTGGAGATATAGTCTTGATATATTTATAACAGCGTGCTACCCTGGAGATATAGTCTTGATATATTTATAACAGCGTGCTACCCTGGAGATATAGTCTTGATATATTTATAACAGCGTGCTACCCTGGAGATATAGTCTTGATATATTCATAAAAGCGTGCTACGCCTCAAGAAACTCCTTGTAATTATTCCTATTCCTGGCAGCACTAGTTTGTAAAAAGTATCAAAAAAGTATTAAATATTAAATACAAAAAAAAAATACATTTAATGGATGAAAAGGCTTCCAAGTTTAAGGCTCAATGACTTTTAACGAGGACCTCTGATTTATCCCGAGTGGGGCCGGACATAGTTTCCGTAGAGTGCACCATCTACGTATTCTTATTTCCCGACCCTCCCCCATTTATTTCGATTCAATTCGCCTTTCCGACACTTTTTAAAATAAAAAGATTGTTTGATGGAGGATAATTGAGCTTAATCGGTTTAGTATTTCAAATGTCAGACTATAGCTGTTCAATAAAAAAAGGATATATTGTCTAGTATTAGAAGTTTAGAACACAAAATATAGAGTTAATACTTGAATTTGTTTGTTCCCTTGTCCTAGGTATTCTGGTTCCGGTCCTGTCCTAAGTATTCTGGTTCCCCCTGTCCTAATTAGTATGGTTCCCATTGTCGTAAATATTATGGTTCCTCCTGTCTTAAGTATTCTAGTGCTACTTATTTTAAGTATTCTGGTTCCCCATGTCCTAAATATTATGGTTCCCTGTCCTGAGTATTCTGGTTCCCCTTGCCTTAAGGATTCTGGTTCCATTTGTCCTAAGTATACTGGTTACCCTTGTCCTAAGTAAGTATTCTGGTTACCTCTGTCCTAAGTATTCTGGTTCCCCTTTTCCCAAGTTTTCTGGTTCCCCCTGTCCTAAGTATTTTGGTTTCCCTTTGTCCTGGGTAGTCTGGTTCCCCCTGTCCTAATTATTCTGGTTCCTGTATATTAAATATTAAGGTTCTACCCCCCTGGCGGTTTAATTCAACGGGTTCTATCTCTCTAAAGATTAGAACCATTGAACCCTCTGGTCTAATTCTATTCAACAGTGGAATCAACGAACAAAAGGTAAAAACGCTTATCCAAATCTTTAAAAATATCTAAACTAAAAAAGTAGGAAGATAAGATGTCGGCTTAAAAAGTTACATTTTAGAGTAAAAATCGATAAGAATTTATCAATTACTCCTGATTTCCTTCTAAAGTACATGGAAAAAAGTTAATGAGATGAACCCTAAGGGCAAGGCGTTGCGACAATTTAATATCAACCCTGTTCTAAAAAAAAATTATGTAGCTTTTCAAAGCAGTCTAGCTCATTGTGGTTCTACTATGTGATATAATTTTTCAGAAGGATTTCTTCGCTGTTGAGTTAATCAATGGAAATATTTTTCTTCATTTAAACCTTGGTGTTGATACAATCAAGATACAAGCTTCCCAATCAGATAAACAGATTGCAGACGGGAAATGGCATAAGGTAGGAAAAACTAAATACTCTATTATTAATGTCTTTCTTCTCAATTTGGTCGAAAACAACATTAAGCATACATTCTGAATAAATCGTACATCACTTCCAAATTGAGCTTGTTGGGACATATAACATGAATTTTTTAAAAATTGAATCATTAATCATTCTTCATAAAACTATTATTCAATAGGAAGCAATTGTACACTGTACACTATACACAGACTCATTTTACTTAATTAGTTGATTTTCAAGTTACTCGTAAAAATTTTTACTCTATAATAACGGGAAATACACATGAAGATTCCTTAAATGTCGTTTTTCTATTCCGCTGTATATATTGAGCTAATATAAAAACTTGCAAGATATGAATTGAACATTTTTTAGATCATATAAAAAGTGTCTAATTTATGAGTATTTTGATCTGAAATCTCAATCTGTGAATATTCTGATCTGAAATCTCAATCTATGAATATTCTGATCTGAAATCTCAATCTGTGAATATTCTGATCTGAAATCTCAATCTGTGAATATTCTGATCTGAAATCTCAATCTGTGAATATTCTGATCTGATATCTCAATCTGTGAATATTCTGATCTGAAATCTCAATCTGTGAATATTCTGATATGAAATCTCAATCTGTGAATATTCTGATCTGAAATCTCAATCTGTGAATATTCTGATCTGAGAACTAAATTTGTGAATATTCTGATCTGAGATCTAAATCTGTGAACATTCTGATCTGAGATCTAAATCTGGGAACATTCTGATCTGAGATCTAAATCTGGGAACATTCTGATCTGAGATCTAAATCTGTGAATATTCTGATATGAGATCTAAATCTGTGAATATTCTGATCTGAGATCTAAATCTGTGAATATTCTAATCTGAAATCTAAATCTGTGAATATTCTGATCTGAGATCTAAATCTGTTAATATTCTAATCTTAGATCTAAATCTGTGAATATTCTGATCTTAGATCTAAATCTGTGAATATTCTGATCTTAGATCTAAATCTGTTAATATTCTAATCTTAGATCTAAATCTGTTAATATTCTGATCTTAGATCTAAATCTGTTAATATTCTAATCTTAGATCTAAATCTATGAATATTCTGATCTGAGATCGAAATCTGTGAATATTCTGATCTAAGATAGCAAAATCTGTGAATTGTAGATTGAGATTAGTATAATGAAGCATCAGGGTAGGATTACTATTGATGATGAAACAGAGGTGTTTACTAAACCTGGAGGTAAAACTAATAAATACAGTTCAACCCAGCACTTTGGAGACATCTAAATAATTTAAAAAAAAGATGTTTTCTAAACATACTGATAATGGAATGCTACAGATATTTAGTGTTTTTATTTAATTAATTAAATTGCGCTTTTTAAAACTGTTCCCGCATATTTCATGGCTATTTATTTATTTTTACAATTACTGAGATTTAGGTATAATAGTATAAAACCCATTGAAAAGTTGTCAATACTACATATTATAGATTATTTCGATGGCTCCAAAGTTCTGGGTGTGAAACTTTTCCATAGAGAAATTGACTTTATAAACATTATTTGATTGTGCCAAGCCAAGATTAGTTTGTAATGCCCGTTAAGGTGTAATAAAGTGTCAGGCGTGAAAAAATTGACGGAGATTTGTCCAGATTCCAATCAATTGAAAATCAACAAAACTGTTCCAATGTTTAATAGCTCCGTCAATTTTAAAGATACAACGGAGGTAGACCACAACGTTCAATCTTTTTTTGATGCACTGTTTTTGATTTTTTATAACATTATCGTAAGACTTATTCTTAAATGGGCGTACAATTTATTCCCAAAGACTTCATTTTCCATATGTCTACAAAAAAATTTAGACTCTGAAGAGGTCTTTTTAAATGGACCTTTTTACCTGGGTGGGCTGGACTATCTGGAAAACAAGAATTCATACCCAACATCAGTCTGGAGTACATCACTGCAGGTAATTTATCTCTGTATAGTTGTAATCTCTGTTTGTTTGTTTGTTTAGATGTCAGATCATAACTCATGAACCCCTGAACCGAATTGCCTCAAATTTTGATTGGGAAACTTGAAAGAACCAAAGATATGTTTTAGCTTGGTTTTGAGATTCTAAGATGAGTGGGTTCACTTTTAAAGGGAAAACTAGCTAAACTTGTTATTTACGACCAAGCGCGGGTACCTTAATTCATCTCATCAGCAGATTCTTTTTCTTCGACCAATTAGCTGACACTGAAGAAAATTCAAAACTTTGAATTTAAACTTTATAATTTTGACCATTTCGTTATATTAAAGATAATAAAAATGTACATTATACGTATTGTACAAATATGAAAACAGTTGAAATATCCGTCGCTGCGTCGTATTTTGAGAATCGTTCAATAACTCCGCGGAAGACGACCTACTGTGTCTAATATTAATCTGATCAAGGAATACGCTGTGCATACAAAATAAGAATAATCCTACTAATGTTATATCTTCAAGGTTTGCATGATTAAAACTATCTATCCTTCTCTGGTAAAAAAGGTCTAGACGTTATTTTACTAAATGATATTAACACAGTATCCAACATTTATGGAACAAATTTGAAAATTCTTTAGAGCAAAAAAATAATCAACTAATTGTTTTCTATACTTGCTTAATAAAGTTATTTAGTGTAGTCCAGAGTTTAAAGATGTAGTCTAGAAAATGTACTTCAGAAGTTGTAGTCTTTTACGTTTATTCTAGAAGTTGTAGTCTTGATAATGTAGTCTAGAAGTTATGGACTAGAAGATATGGTTTAGAAGTTGTAGTCTAGAAGTTGTAGTTTAGATAATATAGTTTAGAAGATAAAGTTTAAAAAATGCAGTTTAGAAGATGCAGTTTAGAAGTTGTATTCTTAAGATGTAGTCTAGAAGATGTAGTCTTGAAGTTGCAGTCTAGAAGATGTAGTCTAGAAGTTGTAGTCTAGAAAATGCAGTCTAGAAGATAAAGTCTAGATGTTGTATTCTACAAGATGTAGTCATGAAGATGTAGTCTAGAAGATTTATTCTAGAAGATGTTGTCTAGAAGTTATAATCAAGAAAATGTAGTCTAGAAGTTGTAGTCTAGAAGATGTAGTCTAGAAGATGTAGTCTAGAAGTTGTAGTCAAGAAATTGTAGTCTAGAAGGTGTACTCTAGAAGATGTAGTCTAGAAGATGTGGTCTAGAAGAAGATGTAGTCTAGAAGAAGATGTAGTCTAGAAGATTTATTCTAGAAGATGTTGTCTAGAAGTTATAATCTAGAAAATGTAGTCTAGAAGTTGTATTCTAGAAGATGTAGTCTAGAAGATGTAGTCTACAAGTTGTAGTCAAGAAATTGTAGTCTAGAAGGTGTACTCTAGAAGATGTAGTCTAGAAGATTTGGTCTAAAAGATGTAGTCTAGAAGATGTAGTCTAGGAGATGTAGTCTTGAAGTTGCAGTCTAGAAGATGTAGGCTAGAAGTTGTAGTCTAGAAGTTGAAGTCTAGAAGATGTACTCTAGAAGATGTAGTCTAGAAAATGAAGTTTAGAAGATGTGGTCTAGAAGATGAAGTCTAGAAGATGTTGTCTAGAAGAAGTAGTCTAGAAGATGTAGTCTAGAAGATGAAGTCTAGAAGATGTTGTCTAGAAAATGTAGTCTGGAAGATGTAGTCTAGAAGATGAAGTCTAGAAGATATTATCTAGAAGATGTAGTCTAGAAGATGTAATCTAGAAGATTAAGTCTAGAAGTTGTTGTCTAGAAGATGTAGTCTTGAAGATGTAGTCTAAAATTTGCAGTCTAGAAGTTGTTGTCTACATAGTCTAGAAGATGTAGTCTAAAATTTGCAGTCTAGAAGATGTAGTCTAAAATTTGCAGTCTAGAAGTTGTCTAGAAGAGGTAGATGTAGTCTAAGCGGAGTTGTAGTCTAAACCTAAATAGATTAATTTCCTGTCAAAATTCCTGAAAAATTTGTAGACGCAACTGATAGAAGTAAGATTAGTAGCGATCAAAAGCGATTATTTTTCGCCGTAAGCCTATACCCCCTTTCATTTTTCGCGAACACCCCCTTTAATGTCTAGTTTGTAATAATATTGAATGAACACAGGAAATATGTTTCTGATATTTTTTTCGAAAGAATATCATTCAGCCTAACACAACGTCAACAGGGTGAATATTTAAACATCTAATTGATATGATGAACTCAAAAACTTTTGATAGCTTTTGATGAATGAATTTTCAAGATGTGACAGGATGAAAGACATTTTAAGATGTGTGCATTGTAACTTTTAACATATTTATAAATGACATTTTTAGGATATATATATATATGTATAATGTTATAGAATAAATATATAACACTACGTACAGGGTGGGGTATAATTACAAATCATATTTTTAGGATGGATATACAGGGTGTATAAAAGAACTTTTTGTAAATGGAGCAGCTGTAGATTTGGGGGACCTAGCCCACCAACAAAATTCAGGTTTATAATTTATTGTTACATACAGGGTGTCCCCTAAACATGATAGTCTGTGATCATTCTTCGGATTTCAATTTATCCCAAAATTGCCTTAATGGAACAAAATTCTTCATGTCTCTGGTAATTTGATAATTTTGTAATCATAAAATAAGCAGACCGCACTTTGGGACTGCAGGGACTATGTATATTTTGTGGTTATTTATTCAAGAATTTAACTTCTAAAATCAGGTTAACAGATCAATCCCGCCTTTTTCAAAGATTAAAGACGATCTCAAGGTGTCTCAGAAGCTGTCGTGTTTCGTGGGGTAATCCCGCGCATTTCCAGCCAACAAAAAGAACTTCTAAACAAGCAGTAAAAGCTTTTCTAATCTATAAAATATGAATAAATTATCTCATTGATTTATCAAATTTATCTTTTTATTTCTCAGGGTTTTATACTTTATTTTTATAAATACAATCTTTTTTATTCGTGTAAAAATGATTGTATAGAAAGTTTATAATCTTTTACAACTTCATTACAGGGAAACTGAGGGAATTTTACTTTGCCAACCAATTTTAAAAGGAATTTTATTTTACCGAAAACAATTAGTGTTTAAAAATTTATCTTTAGGTAAAAAAATCTTTCTCCGGCGGCGCAGTTTTTATTTAGATATTACTTGCCTTCAGCAACTAAATTGATATTCAGTAGACAAACTTTGAAGCTGGCGAGTTTCGCGTCTTTAAAAAGCTGGAAAAGAATTGAAACTTTGTCACAAACTTAAATTTTCTGATCCCTTTATTTTGTTACCTTTGATACTTAGATTTGGTTATCCTTCAGAATTCATGGTTTGAAATATCTAAACTCTTTCACATCGGGTTAGAAATAAGAGTTTGTGGCAATGAATGAATTCCTTTATTCGTTATTGGCACCGTATCGCCAATGAGAGAGGCGGATTGGATGAGAGAGAGGCGGATTGGATGAGAGAGTTGCGAATTGGATGAGAGAGGCGGATAAGATGAGAGAGGCGGATTGGATGAGAGAGAGGCGAATTAGATGAGAGAGAGGCGGATTGGAAGAGAGAGGCGGATTGAATGAGAGATAGGCGGATTGGATGAGAAAGAGGTGGATTGGATGGGGAGAGGCGGATTGGATGAGGGAGAGGTGGATTGGATGATTATTTTGAGTCGTTTTTTACCTGAATCTTTTGTCAGGGTTTAACTAAGCCTTGAAATAACAGATTTAGAATATCAAGGTGTTTTCCTCGGATATCCTAAATAGTAATTTACTAATACTATTTTTAAAATGACAATAATAAGTAACATTTCTCTAATCTAATAGATTTTCCGGTGATCAATTAGACCTAATCGTGAAGAAAGCTAATTATATATTTGATACACTAATTGCTTTAATTGTCCTTCTTTTAATAGAAAATTGGAAAGGAAATTACGAGAAAAAACATGTGTGTTCTAAATAATATTGAGAAAATACATCTTATTTTTAGCTTATAAATGTACAAGCTATAAAGGCATAAACAATAAATTTAAAATATATAAAGTGTCTGTAAGAATGTGATTTTTTTTGGCGAAAAAAGAAATTGATTTAAAAAATGTATCAAGATTTCAAATAGTATAATATATCCAGGTTCTATTCGGTTGTCCTGTCACAGTATGCCTGGGCAGTGCTATGACCGACCATGTCAAAATGGTGGTATCTGTAAAGAAAGTTGTAATATAATATATCCAGGTTCTATTCGGTTGTCCTGTCACAGTATGCCTGGGCAGTGCTATGACCGACCATGTCAAAATGGTGGTATCTGTAAAGAAAGTTGTAATATAATATATCCAGGTTCTATTCGGTTGTCCTGTCACAGTATGCCTGGCCAGTGCTATGACCGACCATGTCAAAATGGTGGCATCTGTAAAGAAAGTTGGAATAGGTGAGTTTGCATAAACATGACTAATTATTTATAAAAATCTGTTTTTATCTCACCTTAGTAGAAAAAAATATTTCTAAACTGAATGATGTTCTCACCTAAATTGTACAAAAAGCATGACATGTAAAATATTTGTAGAGCTTCTAATGCAAGTGGATTTTACTGGCGCGCAATTTCGAGCCCTTTAATTACGAGCAATTTCGCGCAACAGAATTCTGATTTGAAACCCTAGTTTATCTGATAAAACTAGGAGAATTTTATCTGATAAAACATATTTTACTCCAAACAATGATATTAAAGAGACTGAACAAGCAACCACCGTAGTTTCAAACTTCATATTTCCAGTAGTATAGTCTCTGATCCAATCAAGGTTCACTCACGTACTTAGTGAGTGCTCTGGAACAATCAAATTGCAACATCGGCAGGATAAGATCTATCTATCTATTTGTCTCAAGCCCCACCGGCGTACATTTGAATATCCGAGCTGGGCCAACCTTTGCAGTCCTACTTTGGACTGTACCGCCAATTTACAATTACTAAAGCGGCAGAAGACTGTTGTCTTGTCTATTTAAATCTTATAATCCAATTAGAGATTCTTTTGTAAATTAGTGGCAAAGATTAAATGGAATTCATTACTTATATCGATATATCGAAATGTTTAGATACGAATGTGATTGCGACTCAACCAGCTTTACCGGACCTACTTGCAGCAGAGGTATATTTATTATGTAATTCAAAGCAAACAAGTGAAAACATTGTTACTTTGTACTCAAATAAACAAAAAGGACTAAGTGACTTGACATCATCGAAACCCTGTCTGTACAGTGTACAAGTTTTATGTCAACTTTAACAAGTTTAGAAGTTTAAATTGATTATCTTAATTAAATAATGGCAAAGCTTTAAAGGTTTAGAAATTTTGTTGTGAAGTCTAAAGACTGAAGACTAGGCTTTTAAGCAATTCTTATTTTACGGCAAAAAAGAAACTTTAACATTTAAAGTGACAGCTACTGCAATCCACTATAATGGTAAAAAATCTAGATTTATCTTTTTTACGATCTTAATGAATTTCCAAATTAATCAGTCAAGTTCCTTATTAAAATATATCACTTTTTGTTAAAAATGTCCTCAAAGTAGGTAAAATTTTTAAGTATTCGGTCTTACAGTACAGAGTTGGTGCCTCGAGCATGTATCCATATATGCAAATTAAATCTATTTACAGTACAGGGTTGGTGCCTCGAGCATGTATCCATATATACAAATTAAATCTATTTACAGTACAGGGTTGGTGCCTCGAGCATGTATCTATATATGCAAATTAAATCTATTTACAGTACAGGGTTGGTGCCTCGAGCATGTATCCATATATACAAATTAAATGTATTTACAGTACAGGGTTGGTGCCTCGAGCATGTATTCATATATACAAATTAAATCTATTTACAGTACAGGGTTGGTGCCTCGAGCATGTATCCATATATGCAAATTAAATCTATTTACAGTACAGGGTTGGTGCCTCGAGCATGTATCCATATATGCAAATTAAATCTATTTACAGTACAAAGTTGGTGCCTCGAGCATGTATTCATATATGCAAATTAAATCTATTTACAGTACAGAGTTGGTGCCTCGAGCATGTATCCATATATGCAAATTTAAACTATTTGCTTTGCATACATACAACATATAAAATTGATATTGGCAATTTACTAACATTTTTGGCAAATTTGAACCAGATTTATCCAGGAGCAAGCACAATACAGTTTAATGGAAAGAACTATCTTGAGATAAATCTAGAGGAAGAACTTCTTACCGAGGTTCATCAAATTAGTATCAGGTATATAAATATATATACATGTTAGGTAATTTCCCAAAGGCATTTTTCCAAGAGGCAACTTCCCAAGTCTGTCTTAGCCGCAGCGCTCGGCCCCCTAGCCTGTTCTAGCTTCAGCGCTCGGCCCCCTAGCCTGTTCTAGCTTCAGCGCTCGGCCCCCTAGCCTGTTCTAGCTTCAGCGCTCGGCCCCAATTGCAGCTTTCGATGCCTCAGAAGTCATAACCTAACCTTTGGGAAGTTGCCGCTTAGGAAATAACCCTCGGGAAGTTGCCGCAAAGAAAATGCCCATATTATCTATTTTTACTGCATCTGTGAAGTATAAGTAACATCCAAATAAAATTTAAGCAGGAAAACTATTTTTTAAACAAAGTTAAGATGAAAAAGTTTAAGAAAATTATAAAGGAGATAAAAGGAATTTAATAGGTGTTTTACTTTATACGTTTGATGTAAAAAAATACTTTGTCTTCTAGATTTTTTCTTTTTTAACATTCTTATGTTTCGTTTACTTAAATTGATTTCTTTAAATTAATTTTTTTCTTTAGATTTCGGACTACGGAGGATTCAGGAAATAAAAAGAACTTGCGCTAATTAATGTTTCGATAATTAACTTAAATAATTGCCCTGGGTTACAATAAGAACAATGATAAATGGTCGTTAAAAGCAATTAAGTAATTTTCATAAATAATTAATTTTCAACCCATGTAATTGCATAAAAAGATATTTGATAATTTTTTCAGTGAAGAACAAAAAATGTTTATTAATTTCTATAAGGTTTTTGAAGTTCTTGAAAACCCGGGAAATAATTTTAACGAAATTTAAAATAAGCATTTATTTCAAGTGTTACAACGAGACCCTTGCTCCACAAATATCATGAAGAGATCCTTCTTTGTTGTTAATCGCGCATGTGACTCTTTTTTTAAATGGAGAGTCACTTGCGTCGTCAATCCCTTTATGGTTTAAATAAACCATCAGCAAATTCTTGTTATGGACAGGGCTTCTCTTCTTTGCAAGCAGTGGAGTTCAACAAGATATAATAGAAGTATCTTTACAAGTGGGCAAAGTTAAAGTGAATTTTAGAATCGGACTCTTTGATAAGGTCAGTCAATATATTTTAGAATCGGACTCTTTGATAAGGTCAGTTAATATATTTTAGAATCGGACTCTTTGATAAGGTCAGTTAATATATTTTAGAATCGACCCTTTGATATGGTCAGTCAATATATTTTAGAATCGGACTATTTTATAAGGTCAGTCAATATATTTTAGAATCGGACTATTTGACAAGGTCAGTCAATATATTTTAGAATCGGACTCTTTGATAAGGTCAGTCAATATACTTTAGATTTGAAGAAAAAAAAACATTCTTCATTTAAAAAAGGGTCGAAAATAAAAAAATGCGCTAAAAACTTTTATAAGAGAAGGTGGTAATAAAGACTCTCAGAAAGTTCTAAAAAGACTGAGCATTTAAAAAAAAATCATTTAAATAGAGGCTTACCCGATTACCAGCGGTACCCTTCAAACCCTTCGGCTAAGCAAACATAATTAAAGATATTCTAGTATTTTTATTTGAAAATTGATTATTACTAATTCTTGTTTATCTTTAAAAGTGACTTACGGTTTTTTACAGCAAAGAAGGAAATAGTCAGAATTTTTTTTCTTTACATTTAACTTTTATCTGATATTAATGACGAAGATATCGCAAACAGTCCCTTTAATTATGCCCTCTGTATTGTGTACAATGTTTCTTTTCAATAATATAATTTAATTCCTAGATTAATTAAATAAAAATAAATTAAAACCTGGGAAATATATCTTAATCCCGTCATTAGAATAATTCTTAATTATATTACTGGTGGGAATTAAGCACGAAAATACAAGGGAAAAATCCTCTGCATTATTAAGAATAGTTTTCAGTTGTAAAATATTTCATTCAAAATTTACAAACGTCATTTGTTTTATTTACTCAAAGCTCTAAAACGGCCGAACCAAATTGGTCAAAGATTTTGTACAGAATGACGTGGTTCAAGGGTATTGAGTTTCTCAACAAAAAATTTTTAAAAAATTAAGTCTTTGCTAACAACTCTGATTTTCTAAGCCCTACAATCTATATCTAGGCAACTCAATGTCGTAGACCTTAGATATTTCAAATTGAATTGATTCTGAATTTGGAATATCAAAGGTTTTCACCATCAGGCTGGAAAGATATAGGGATTAAAAAATCTGAGGTTGTGGCAAAGACTGAATTCCTTTCGTATCTTTTGAAAGGTATTGAGTCTTTGTCACAGACTCAAATTTTATAATTCAAAAATCTTTGCTACCTGATGGTGTAAACCTTTAAAATTTCAAACTATGAGAATTCATTGTTTGAAATAACAAAGATGTACAACACTGTGCTGAAAAGAAAAAGGGATTAGATAATCAAAGTTTGAGGCAAAGACTCAATTCCTTTTGTTAAAAAATTAGGCGGCGGGGTTATATAGAAAGCTTAATTATTTCACCCTTGAAAGGATTAATATTTTTCTCATAGAATAATTTAAATTTCAGACTTTCTACATTGGACAGTCCTTGAACGATGATCTTTGGCATACAATCAGGTAAAATATTTAAAAATAAAAATAAATTTAAATATAATAAAAAAAAATTAATATTTTTAGGCTTTCCCGAAAAGGAAGCATAATTGAAGGGTCAGTTGACGATGATGATTCTGTGAAAAGTAAGCATTTAATTTTTTTACTTTATCATAGTTGTTACAAAGTTCTTTTCATAGTTTTCATGTTTTCCTAAACTTGGAGTATAATTAGCTAAATGGTAAACTATGAAAATGACAATATTGTTTGTTTAGGTGAACTCTACGGCTCAGGGCAGGTCATGTCTTTAAGGTCGTACTTCATAGGAGGACAAAGGTAATAATAATAATAATTATAACAATAATAATGATAATAATAGTTATAATAATAATAATAATAATAATAATAATAATAATAATAATAATAATAATAATAATAATAATAATAATAATAATAATAATATTAATAATAATAATAGTAGTTATAATGACAATAAGAACAATGATTATAATGATAATGATAATTACATTTTATTTTAGTGATATAAGCAAGTCCTCAATTGGCCGGAATTTTGTTGGACGAATTCAACAGTTGGTGATTAATACAGAACATTTGATAGAAGAGTCTCATCTCCAGCAGATTCAGTATCATGGTAACCAATCTTTATATTGGATGCAGTATTATGGCAACCAATCTTTATGTTACATTCAGTATCATGGTAACCAATCTTTATTTTAGATTCAGTATCATTGTAACCAATCTTTATGTTAGATTCAGTATCATGGTAACCAATCTTTACATTGGATTCAGTATCATGGTAACCAATCTTTATATTGGATTCAGCATCGTGGTAACCAATCTTTATATTGCATTCAGTATCATGGTAACCAATCGTTATATTGGATTCAGTATCATGGTAACAAATCTTTATATAAGATATAGTATCATGGTAACCAATCTTTATATTGGATTCAGTATCATGGTAACCAATCTTTATGTTAGATTCAGTATCATGGTAACCAATCTTTATGTTGGATTCAGTATCATGGTAACCAATCTTTATATTATATTCAGTATCATGGTAACCAATCTTTATATTGGATTCAGTATCATGGTAACCAATCTTTATGTTAGATTCAGTATTCTATAATATTACAAACTCTAGATATATGCATGCATTTTTCATAGACTAAGTGAACCCACCTTTGTATACTATTAATTATTTCCTTGCCTTTGAGGGTTTAAATGATAAATATACCTTCTATTTTTAACTTCTGTGAATTAGCGGTTAATTTTATAATTATTGTATTTATTAAACCTACTCACGGTGGACTAGGGTCAAATTGAACTTGAACCGGTCTGACCCCTTGGCCTTAGTGAAGCGGAGCAAGTACCGGCCCGACCTTATCCTACGCCGACTCGGTTTCATCTTTGATGGCACGGACAGACTTTTTACAGTACCTGGCCCATCATAGGCCTATTTGACCTACCCCACTATAGCTTAGTTTAGAGTGTTATTATGGAATATAAACATTTATTTTATTAATATATTACCCCACTATAGCATAGTTTAGAGTGTATTTATGGAATATAAACATATATTTGATTAATATATAACCCCACTACAGCTTAGTTAAGCGTGTATTTATGGAATATAAACATATATTTTATTAATATATTACCCCACTATAACTTAGTTTAGAGTGTATTTATGGAATATAAACATTTATTTTATTAATATATTACCCCACTATAGCTTAGTTTAGAGTGTATTTATGGAATATACATATTTATTTTATCAATATATTACCCTACTAGCTTAGTTTAGAGTGTATTTATGGAATATAAACATATGTTTTATTAATATATTACCCCACTACAGCTTAGTTAAGCGTGTATTTATGGAATATAAACATATATTTTATTCATATATTACCCCACTACAGCTTAGTTTAGAGTGTATTTATGGAATATAAACATATATTTTATTCATATATTACCCCACTATAGCATAGTTTAGAGTGTATTTATGGAATATACATATATATTTTATCAATACATTACCCCACTAGCTTAGTTTAGAGTGTATTTATGGAATATACATATTTATTTTATCAATATTTTACCCTACTAGTTTAGTTTAGAGTGTATTTATGGAATATACATATTTATTTTATCAATATATTACCCTACTAGTTTAGTTTAGAGTGTATTTATGGAATTATTTTATCAATATATTACCCTACTAGTTTAGTTTAGAGTGTATTTATGGAATATAAACATATATTTTATTAAGAAATACATCACTTCATAATGTCTTTACCAATGAATAATGATATAATAGATATGTATATACTATTTTGAATTATTATTATTGTAATTTATTCTGTTATGGAATTATTTTGCCCAGCAGTACTTTTATTCATTATGTATATTTTTAAACACTGCATTGTTGTCCTTCTATACAGCTAACTTAATAACTAGGAATCTATTCAAAATATATTTCTAATCAGCTCAATTTAATATTTAACGAATAAGAAAAGGGGACCGGACAATGCTTCATGTTAAATACTAGAGGGGGTCCCTCCTATTCCTTTTTACTTTTATTACCGTGTTTTCTCTTCGTAAATTATAAATAAAGTTATAATTATTAAAGAGTTCCTAGAAGTTTTAATATTCATTCGAGAATTTTCATAAAACATGAAGTTCAACAAAAAAATGTTTGACTGATCGGTTGAGCCGTTTTGACATTTATTGAAGACAAACAAACACCACGTGAGATGACAAAGACAAATATATAAATAAAGAATATTGCTGAATAATATAAGTGATATAATCTAGGAAAAGTGAAGTTCCAGCATGTTGAAGATGTCATCTACAATTCTATTTCATTTCTCTCACATCACACATATCTAGGGATGCCTCAGCTAAAGGTAATCCTCCCCCCTTACCCCCCCCCCCCACTCGGTATCTCGCCAATGCAAACTAAAGTAATTTGGACGAAAGATTGAATTTAAAAACATCAAAATTGTAGAGTTTACAAGCCTTTCTTATGTTCTGACTAATTTTTACCTAAATATCACGTTAACTAAAGTAAATTGCTCCAACATTAAAATCTTTTATGTTTTCAATCATAACTCCTATTATTGAAGAAATGTTTTCAATCATAACTCCTATTATTGAAGAAATGTTTTCAATCATAACTCCTATTATTGAAGAACTGTTTTCAATCATAGCTCCTATTATTGAAGAACTGTTTTCAATCATAACTCCTATTATTAAAGAACTGTTTTCAATCATAACTCCTATTATTGAAGAACTGTTTTCAATCATAACTCCTATTATTAAAGAACTGTTTTCAATCATAGCTTCTATTATTGAAGAACTGTTTTCAATCATAGCTCCTATTATTGAAGAACTATTTTCAATCATAGCTCCTATTATTGAAGAACTGTTTTCAATCATAACTTCTATTATTGAAGAACTATTGAGAAGAACAAAAGTGTTTTGAATGTCTAATATCTAAGCGAATAATATTACTCTGTTCACATGTGTGAATAAAATCAAAACTAGAAGTGCTCCGAGATCACAAAATCGTTGCAGTAATGTTGTAAATTTGACCTTCTCTTTGTTCCTAGTACATTACAGTTTATTAAAAAATCATCTAATAAATTTAATGAAAGGGATCCTTCACCTTTCTAAAAAATACAGATTAAAATACATTAAATCCTAGGAATGATCTGTGGGAGATAATAATGGCTGACTGGGTAATGATAATTTAAAAAAATTGGAATATATTTTTTTTAATAGCTCAGCAATTCTTTTATGGGGAGTGAGGCAATAAGTATAAAAAGTAAAATAAGTAAAAAAATTAACCGAAATAATCTCTTATATTAACCGAAATAATCTCTTATTAACGAAACAATCTCTTATTTACCGAAACAATCTCTTATTAACTGAAACAATCTCTTATTTTCCGAAACAATCTCTTATTAACCGAAATAATCTCTCATTAACCGAACACTCTCTTATTAACCGAAACAATCTCTTATAAACCGAACACTCTCTTAATTACCGAAACAATCTATTATATTAACCGAAACAATCTCTTATTAACCAAAACAATCTCTTATTAACCGAAACAATCTCTTATATTAACCGAAACAATCTCTTATTAACCGAAACAATCTATTATATTAACTGAAACAATCTCTTATTAACCAAAACAATCTCTTATTAACCGAAACAATCTCTTATTAACCGAAACAATCTCTTATTAACCGAAACAATCTATTATATTAACCGAAACAATCTCTTATATTAACTGAAACAATCTCTTATTAACCGAAAAATCTTAATATATATTAAGATATACTGTTAAATGAATAAAGGCTAAAATGTGTAAGATGTACATTAATATATAGTTCTCAAAATATTTTCTATTCTTCATAGTTTATCTACTTGATGTTCTTGTTATAGTTGAAACACTTCTCTTGTTTCACTTCTAATATATTATAATATATTATTTTGTAAGTTGATGGAAGAGATTATAGGAAATATGAATATTAATGCAAAACCTTTTTCATATTCAGAAAAGAAACTTTCACATCTAGAATATTCAGTAGAGATGGAAATTTAAAGTTTTAAAAAATAAAATTTTCCAACATGCATGATATTGAATCATGTTTTTTAAGCTCACAATAACATACTTCTATGTATACATTCATTCTCTATTAATCTTCTATCTAGTCTCAAAATATCCCATTAGCAAATTTTTCTAATTTAAACAGTTAAATATGATGCTATAAGCTAAAAAAGTTTAAATAGATAGTAAATTTAGATACAAATAAATTGGATTTTTGCACTTTCTCTCTCTTCCAACCTAAAATCTTATCTTGATATAATTTTCCTGCTTAACCTCTTTCCATTTTTATTTTTTGTTTTCTTTGTTTTGATTTGTTAAAATTGTAGTATGGTTTTTAATCAAATTTATTTTGGGAAATCAAGCCTCAAAACAACAGGTAAATGTTAAGCGGACCCAAAAACTATAATTTATTCCCGTATTGATATTGTTTAAAGATCTGTCTGTCTGTATTCTATCTATCTATCTATCTATCTATCTATCTATCTATCTATCTATCTATCTATCTATCTATCTATCTATCTATCTATCTATCTATCTATCTATCTTATCTATCTATCTATCTATCTATCTATCTATCTATCTATCTATCTATCTATAAATCTATTTATCTATATATTCATCTATCTACCTGTGTTTAGGTGTACAACAACGTGGATATCTTCTTCAAGTTTAAGACGAGCGAGGAGAACGGGTTGTTGATGTACAACGCCGGGAAGAACAATGATTTCCTGGCACTTGAACTAGTTAATGGACATGTTCATTACATATTTAATATGGGGTAAGTAAATTGTTAAATATAAAATAGGTTTTAATCGTAATTATTTTACTATTTGCGCGTTTAAATATATTTTAGTGTGTTTAAAGCACACTCCAGCAACTCAAGTTGTGCGTATTTTAGTTTTTACTCTTTTTTAAGTTCCAAACTTTTCAAAAAAAATCATTCCACACTCGACAAAAACAACTCCTGCGTCGAGAATGCAATAATTTTTTAAATGTTACGGTTTTGCTGGCTTATAGGTAACAGGTGCATACACCTTCACATGAGTATTCCGCATCTATGCTTTACATAGTTGAGTACACATGTACACATGTACACTGTACAGGTATGGACCTGTGACCTTGAAAGATAACACTGACAGTTCTCTGGCTGACAACAAGTACCACAGCGTATGGGTCAGACGGCCCACCAGATACTCACAGGTACAACTTAAACTATTAAAAAATAAAATTAAAATTATAAATTATAAAATCTAAAATTTAAAATTCTTCTCTTAGGTTTTAATAATCGACAACTACCATAAAGTTTCCAGTAGTGGATTAGGAGAAAACTATTATCTAAACCTGGACGGAATCCTTCATTTAGGTTTATACAATTTTTTCAGTCTCATCTTCAATGAATTACTTAGATTATCAATGTTATTAAGCTCTCATGGTAATCAAATATATTTAGTTATTTTGTTCTTTTATTTAGTGAAACTAGAAATTCAAGGCGCTTCGCGCCCTTCTTTCTAGCCTTAGAGGGCGCTTTGCGCCCATCTTCTAAATTAATTGTGTACATCGTAAAACAAAACAAAAATAATTCGCGGATTTTCACAAAAAAATTCGCGGATTTTCAAAATTTTCAAAAATTTAATGACGATCGAATTTTGATGGAGACAAATATTTAAAATTTTGATTTTTCATAAACCTTCCCTGGGGTCCCTAGATGTCCCACAAAAAATTTGGGCCCGATCGGTTCAGCCGTTTTGACGTTTATTGGATACAAACAGACAAACAAACAAACAGACAGACAAGCCAAATTTATATATAGATGTTAAAAATTGGTTTGTAAGTGGTTTTAAAGGACCCTTCATATAAAAACTGTTTTGATGATTCACAACATAATTATAAACAGCAATATAATGTGAAACAACTTAAATTTGGAAATTTTATTTTTTTTAAATGGCTGACAAATATCTGTTTTATTGTTTCAGTAAAAACAACAATTATCTTGCAATTAAAGAGTTGTTTAAAATTGCATGAACGATCCCTTTAAATGTCCAGTTTATAAAGTATATTTGACCTTAGATAAATAGAATAAAATGAGTTGGTGCATCAGTATTTCTAGAAGAATTATATTGCACCAGTTTTCTAAAAATATAAAATTGAATTAAATAATTTAGGAGGAGTCAAATCTGAGATGTATTCTAACCTTCCTTTCCCTCTAACTTCTAAAACAGGGTTTCAGGTTGGTTTAATAATTTTGTATTGTAGTGACCACAATATGCCCCTTCCAAACCCCCACTCAAGTACTTAATAAATTTGCAAATCCCACTTAAGTACTTTTTTATCTTGGCTAACCAATTTATTGTCCCGGCTGCTCACTTTATTTTCCCAGCTGCACTCACTTTATTGTCCCGGCTGCTCACTTTATTGTCCTGCCGGACCACTATCATGTCCTGGATAAATTTGAATCCATTTTGTTCCAATATAAATAAGTATTTGTCAATGGGAAAGAAAAATGATTTGTTTCTGAATTGGATGTGGCCATTTTGGGACATACAACTGTCAAGAGCTGAGTTCTGACAGTTTGACATTGAGTTGTAATTTTTATACTTACCTTGTTCTGTTTGGATCTATTGGAGGTCAATTATGTCCTTCACTATGCTTGGGACATAATTGACCTTTGATGGATCTTAATATTATCTCTTAATACGCCACAATCCAAAAATACCCGACCTTAAAGGGATTGTTCGCGAAAAATGAAAGGGGGTATAGGCATACGGCGAAAAATAATCGCTTTAGATCGCTACTAATCTTACTTCTATCTGTTGCGTCTATAAAGATAAAATTGTTAAAAACGACTTGTACTGAAGAACGTTATAACGTCCATACAAATTCAGAAAGTTTCAGTCTACGACTCGGACAGAAGCGTATTCAGGGGGAGGGCTATGGAATTATTGATTTCAGGGGGTTTTCAGGCACCAAAGGGTGCCGAGCCCCCCTGGAAAGAGAAAAAAATTAAGCCCCCCCAGGACAAATTCCTGAATACGCCCCTGGACTTGGATCGTAAAAAATATCAATTTATACCCCCTTTCATTTTTCCCGAATACCCCGCCTTAACCTTTGAATAGAATATATATATATATATATCAACACAATGACGACAAATTTCTATTTCAATTTTAATTTCTACCAAGCCATCAAACAGGTTGGATAAACATAAATTTGGAAACAAAGAGTAGATGTCAATTAACAAATGCTTTTAATATTTACTTGTCAACTTGTAATTTAGATAAAAACGTATTAGGAATCAAAACCTAAATTGAAAAGTCGTCTTCATTGTATTGATATAAACGCCGACCACAGTTGTAAATTTTTTCTCAAAAAAGTTATTCAAAAAATATTTCTCTTAGGGCTGTATGTCGAACCTGGAGGTGAATGGTGAAGCTATAGATCCTAATAAAGTAAGATGAAATTTAGAATAATTAAAATCAATTATTTTCACCCAAAATACAATCTTATAATTTTTTTAAATTACTTTTTTAGGATGCGCTGGTTCCCAGCCCGCAAGTGATAAAGGGATGTCAAGGTCAGGGTTTTTTTTTATTTTGAAAAAATAAACAATTGACGTGGAACTTGAAAGAAATTATTTTAAAAAAAGCTAAACGCATATTTTTATCAAACACTATTAATTTTTTTAATGATGCCTCCCCTACTAAATCTATCAGAGTTTGAATAATTCTGCCGGCGGCATGAGGACGTAAAATTATGTATCAAATTAACTTTTTTTATTTTGAGTTTGGAGCAAAATAGACAAACAATTTTTTGACGCATAAACGTTTTTGAAAAGGTTAAAGAATATCTTCATTAAATTATCTTTTTTCTTTGTTATGTCGTCTATAGTAAATGTAATGTTGGTGAATATGAAGTATATGCAATTACCCTGGCCTGGCAGGGTTCATTTATTAGTAAGACACTTAAACTCTACACGCTACACTCTACAGTGTATATCGAGTTTCTTTGTATGACGTCATTCTGCAGCATTCATCTTTATATCATAGAGTTTTTATTTGCACTTAGTTTTCATACTACTCCCACTAGGTGCAAACTTTCATTTCATTCATTTCATTCATTGCATTCATTGCATTCATTTCATTCATTTCATTCATTTCATACATTTCATTCGTTTCATTCATTTCATTCATTTCATTCATTTCATTCATTTCATTCATTTCATACATTTCATTCATTTCATTCATTTCCTTCATTTCATTCATTTCATTCATTTCATTCATTTCATTCATTTCATTCATTTCATTCATTTCACTCATTTCATTCATTTAATTCATTTCATTCATTTCATACATTTCATTCATTTCATTCATTTCATTCATTTCATTCAACCATTCATTCCACCATTCATCCTACCATTCATTCCACCATTCATTCCACCATTCATTCCACCATTCATTCCACCATTTATTCAACCATTCATTAAACCATTCCTTCCACCATTCATTCCCCCATTCAATCCACCATTTATTCAACCATTCATTTAACCATTCATTAAACCAGTAAGTTAACCGTTGTTAAACCAATTATTCAAACATTCATTCAACCATATATACACCTATCCATTCAACCATTCATTTAGTCACAGTCCTATACATTCTAGATATCACCAAGTTTTTTTTTAAACTTTAAACAAGATACTTTTAGTTTTATAATTTGGTTTATGAAACAAAATAAATGTAATTCTTCTTGACAACATTTTTCCGCTTTTACATTTAACTTTTAAAACTTTGTTTCATTCATGAATTTTCCTTTGATTCATTTATTCTTTCATTTATTCTATTCATCATTTCAACTTGAAACATTTTTATTCTTTTCATATATTTGTTTTTAAATAAATACTTCAAAACATCTAAACTTTTTCCTATTGCTCGAAAATAAATGTAAATAACTGAAACAACCATTGAAAATAATTAATAAATATATTTTCTTGAAGTGAAATTGAATTGAATTAATTCCAGGAAATATTTTATTGTCAGTGGTTTGATGAAATCAGATTCTTAATTAAAACATTTAAACTTAAACAATATTTAAATCAGACAAGGATTTGCAAGTTTTTATTTTTATTTTTATCTTTCACGCAAAACTTGGATAAAATCATCAAAGCCTCTAAAGATTTAAACTGTAATTAAAACGGATAGTAAATTTCCATGCAGTGATAACCAGAAAACTAAAATAGTAAGACGACTTTTATAACATTGAAAAGTCAAATAAACATGAGACAAAGCAATTGAGCAATGTAAAAAGGCCCTTTTCACTAAATGATTTGATAAGTGTCTCGTAAGACTATTTGTTTTAAAATAGCATCGAATACAAAGAAGTATTGCTATCATGTCGTCTTCCTATTTCTAGTTTAACTGTAAGCTAAAAATATATCTGATAGAAAAATACATTATTTTGTTATTTAGACTCGTTTGCATATGAATTCCTTGGTAAAACGTATGGACTAATTACTTATAAATACCCGGAGGATAAACAGCCAGATACTAAGGTAACAAAAATAGAAAAAAAGTTATTGGTCATTTAAAAGAAATTAATATTTAAAAATATTAATGTTATATTTTAGTCTGACACCCTGACGGTAGGGTTTATAACTGGAGTGGGTAGCTGTGTCCTGGTTCGAATAGATAGCGCTCAATCAAATGATTTTATAGAACTCAGGCTGGTAAGGCATACTTTAAGACTGCTAACTATCAAGAATATATAAAATATGATTGTGAAAAAGAGTTGACATGTTGAAATTCGGCCCCGACAGGGTAAACTGTAAGAACGGCCTGAAAAGGACGATTTCAAGGTTAAGATAAGCTTTCTGTCTTGAATAATGGATTTTTTAATGATTTTACAAAGAAAGAAATCAGTTTACAGTTGCAGGGAATCATGAATATAAGGAAACATACAATATAAATTACGTATAGTCGTCTTTGAAGTCTTATCCTTGTGGGTAACCATGTATTATCTCTTTAGGAACAAGCTCAGCTCTATAGAAATGGGCTTAGATCCTTAGTTTTTCGGAGCTTATCTCTAGTCTATAGAAATGAGGTTAAATCTTTAGGAACGAGCTTAAAGCTTTAGGAACGATGTTAAAGCTTTAGAAACGACTTCAAATCTTTAGGACCTTGAATCTTTATGAAAAAGCTTTAATCTTTGAAACGGGTTAACCTTTATGAATGACCTTAGCTCTGTAGGTGTAAGCTTAGGTATACTAAGCTTACACCTGCAGAGCTTATCTTATTCTTTAGGAATAAGATAAGCTTTTTATGAACTAGCTTAGTGCGTTGGAAACGAGATGAGCTAGATCTTGTTAATACAACGGAGACGTAAACTTAAGATAATTCTTTACGAAACTGAGTTTAGATAGACTTTTATGTTCACTTCTCTTGTGGCTCGGCAAGATGCTAAGTCTTAAAAAGTTTGAATCTCTAAAATAACTATTTACAACATTGTTATTTTTGTTCGCAGTGTTGTAAAGTTTTTGGACAGAAATTTTCTCTTTATCGAGAAGGTTAAAGCCTTTTTAGATTTAATTTTGTCCCGAGCTTTAGTGCGAGCTAAAAATTTAATATAAAAATTTAAGTCCAAAAACTTTATAGCACGTTGTGCCAAAATAATAGTGTTATAGGTAATTTTATTAGATTGTGCACTTGTCTTATTTCAATGGCTCTTTTAAATCAAATAAGCTTTGAAACAAATCAAAAGTCAAAATATTAAGCTGATTTCAATTTTATTTTTATTTCAACTGAAAAAAATATTTTGGAAAAATCCTAAATTTGTTTGGGAAAATCCGGAAACCAAACTTTATAGCACAAGTGCTATGTACAGCTAATTTAACTTTATAGCCCGATAATTAAATAACACATTTAGTATGAAATTCACGATGAAGTGAGTAAGAATGATAAAGTACGCAATAGTTTCATAAAAGTCTTTAACATATGCATGTGTTTAGGAGAAAGGGTTTGTAGTGGTCGAGTATAATCTTGGAACGGAAAGTATAATAATTGCGGAGAAAGCAACAACGTTTAATGATGGAGAATATCATGTTGCGAGGTAAAATATTATCTTTATTTCCTTTATTTAAAATTATATTGATTAGAATACAATTGAAAAAAACAACGCAAAATCCATTGACATTTGTTGAAAAGAAAATGATGAATCTAAATAAAATGACAAATTTCCAATATTGAAAAATTTCCTTTCTTCTAAATTGTTTCCGCTGCAAAGGTGACTTTCAGGTTTTCGTTTTTAAAATAATATTTCACTTATTTTCCAGGTTTGTTCGAGTAGGGCCTAATGCAACCCTTCAGATGGATAATCATAAAGAAATTACAAAAACTCCAGACGGTAAATATATTATATTTGTATTTCAATTTTATTTTAAATTCTTTAATATTTTATACTTCAGGCCGCCATCTGACTGTTTTTAACTCCCAATATTTGGTTCAAATTGGAGGAAGATTTCTAGAGGCAAAACAGATTGTGGAACACCCTTTCCAGGTAGAATTAGAATTAGAACCAGATACCACTGGTTCAACTACTTTAATATGGTGGTTTAGCAAAACAGATTGTGGAACAGCCTTTCCAGGTAGAATTAGTAGTTGAACCAGATACCACTGGTTCAACTACTTTAATATGGTTTAGCAAAATTCAAACGAGGAAATCTGCTAAAAAATGTATCGATTTTCTATTAGCAATGAAAAATATGCCTATTCAGGTAAAAACTATTTTAATTTTACGGGAAAGAAAAGAAAAGTCCCTCTAAAGCCGAGATCTTTATACTTAATATTGTACTAGCTTGGGAACAAAGTTTTCTTTATATGAGACTTTTCAACTGAGAACTTTTAAACCTAGCTTAGAAAGGGGTTCCTGAGTTATAAAAAACAAAATAAGATTACTACTTTATTTATAGAGATTGTATCATTCACATAGTGTACTTTATACTGTGTACTTCATACTTTATACAAGTCATTCATATATTGGAAATACAAGTCATGATTGTTTGATTTAGAATTTACATATTTTCATTGATTTGAACCCGATTTTCCAGTCTTATTCCAGATATTTTAAATACTATTATTACTATGTATATATATACTATACTATTATTTATTTTTTTAAACAAAAACTTATAAGATACTTTGTTTAAAAAGAAAATTTCCAATTATCTTTGTGTATTTATACATCAAAGTGAACCTTCATTTACAAACTTATTGTCAACCATAACATTTTTATTCTCTCTTTTAAACCCGTTTCCTAATGACTTTAAAATGAGGGATCACCTTTTCCCGGTAGATCTAGCACATAAAGTGTGGATAAAGAATACGACTGTAAGATTTAAGTAATTTTGAACATGAAACACAATAAGCGACCGGGGATCTTGATCTCAATGTTTCTTTTTTTTTCGAATCCAGAGTTCAAAGGAATTGAGTCTTTGCCGCAAACAAATACTTTTGAATTCTCTTATTGTTGCAACCTGATACTCAGATTATTTAATCCAAAAGAATAAAAAGTTTAAAATATCTAAGCTCTACGGCAATGTGTTGCAAAGATTTAGGGATTAGAAAATCAGCAAAGACTCAATTCCTTTCTTTTGGTTTTACTTTTTCTGAGAGTAAAAACATTCCTTTGTGAAGAGATGGTTTTAACATGGACCTGCACAAATATATGAGATGATTTTAACATGGACCTGCACAAATATAAGAGATGGTTTTAACATGGACCTGCACAAATATATGAGATGGTTTTAAAATGGACCTGCACAAATATATGAGATGATTTTAACATGGACCTGCACAAATATAAGAGATGGTTTTAACATGGACCTGCACAAATATATGAGATGATTTTAACATGGACCTGCACAAATATAAGAGATGGTTTTAACATGCGGGATTCAATTAAAATTGTTGCATACCAAAAGAAAACCCGAAATATTTCAATGAATATTAATTTATTCAAAGATTTAATTATTTCAGGGAGTTCTGGCAGGATTAATCTACAATGGCAATCATCTTCTTGAAATGGCATTTCAGAAACGAGATGGAATTAAACTACGAGGCTCCGTCACGTATCTTCCAAGGTTAGGGGGAGGGGGATTCTAAATTATAAAAAAAAAATTTAAATTTTTAATTTGAATGTTTTCAGTATTCCGTCTGACTATAAGGGGAAGGTTGAGGAGTTAACTAAACTGAGATCTGAATCTTTAGGACAACTTCATACCACAGACAATACAGGTATTAGTATTATAACCCATGTAAACTTTATTTAGCATAATTGAAAGTATTACCATAAAACTAGGAAACTACCTATAAACTATAAACTTACCGAAAAACTGTAAAGTTTAAATAAAAATACAAAATTTACATAAAACTAATATAGAAATAGAAAATGTGAAGGTAAATCTGAAAATAATGAACATTTTTGTGAAAACAAAACAAGAAATATTTTGAGATTTTAATCTTGAGCAGGGGCCATGAAAGGTACCACACACACAAAAAAAGTCTTTCTACTCCGGCTATATATACGTTTTAGAGTTCTACTTAAAGAGAAAAATAAAGAAAAGGATTTGAATTTGTCTGCACAAAACTAAGTTGTTAGGTAGTTAAGATGCAGTGGGGAAAATAGAAAGAAACTGCGGTCATTTAGAAAAAAGTAAATCATATTAAACTGAAAATAGAATGGTTTTCAAGGTCAAAAGTTAAACTTTACAAAAATAAAAGTCGAGTTAAACCTTGGAACAATAAAAGTCGAGTTAAACCTTGGAAAAATAAAAGTGGAGTTAAACCTTGGAAAAATAAAAGTGGAGTTAAACTTTGGGAAAATAAAAGTGGAGTTAAACTTTGGAAAAATAAAAGTGGAGTTAAACTTTGGAAAACTAAAAGTGGAACAGAACTTTGAAAAAATAAAAGTGGAGTTAAACCTTGTAAAATAAAACTGGAGTTATACCTTGGAAAAATAAAAGTGGAGTTAAACCTTGGAAAAATAAAAGTGGAGTTAAACTTTGGAAAAATAAAACTGGAGTTAAACCTTGGAAAAATAAAAGTGGAGTTAAACCTTGGAAAAAATAAAAGTTGAGTTAAACTTTGGAAAAATAAAAGTGGAGTTAAACTTTGGAAAAATAAAAGTGGAACAGAACTTTCTTCAAACTTTAAGCAATGTAACTTCTTTCAACACCTATATGAGACCCCCCCTCAACCTCTCCTTCCTAAAACCTAGATTGTGGAATTTTTAGATTATATTTCTAATTTTCCTTATAAAGTCCCAAATCTACGTGGTATTCCCTCATGCAGCAAAGTTGCATTAAGTATATTTTCTACAACTTCCACCAAACTAGCTGCAGCAATATACTCAGAAGAAACCAACAATATAATAGTGGAAGAATCTGAAAATATAATAACCATTGTAATCTATATAAAGAGAAACCAGTATTTTTAACACGGTGGCAATGCCGAGTTCTCCAGCTTTTGAAAATAAAATAAATCTAAGTTTCTCATTTATACGTGTTTATCTGGCTAAAACTCCCGGTGAAATATTATTTTAAAGGATTATCATTTCAAGTTATCCTCCAGGCTAGAATGGGAATGTCCGATTTACAACGATATCCTTAAAAGATTTGTCTGATCAATTATAAATCTTTTCGAGTAAAAAAATCTCCCCACTTGTTTGATCGGATTACGGTTAAGGTTACCGTTGTAAGTCTGGCATTGATATCTTTGTATGAAGAATCACTTCAAATTACGTGAGCAGTCTCTTTAAGTTACATGGCTTGTATTCAGCATTTTTTACATTGTAAACCCTGGTCTCATAGTGTACACATGATGTCCTAGCTGATTCATCGTCAATCTGAAATTACATTTACAATTCCTTTCTAATTGCAGAGAGTTGGACAAACTGTGACGATGACGACCTTTGTGAAGGATCGGGTTCATCCAACTCAGGTAATCCCATCCCCGCAACCTGTATACCGTAAACTAGTGTTATTTGCATGTTCTAGGACATTTGAATGGTGTATTGATGTGTAAACCCTAATTAAATTAAACATCAAACCTCTGACACCATCTAAATATATTTCCCTTGAAATAAAAGTTGTTGTGTGTATGTAACTGTGTACTGTGTACTGTGTATAACAGTGTATCCCTATAAAATGCATTTTTAAACGATGGAAAAAAAAATAAAAAATTTCGACAGCTTGTAGCAACTTTATTTTTAAAAAACTATTATCCATAATAAACTCGATGGAAGGATACAACGTCTAAAATTCACAGTAAACCCACCTTACAGGAACCAAGAAAAGGGCAGAAAATACTGGTTTGGGGAGAGGTGTGTACTTTGCCGGTGGAGGATTTATGCCATGTGATGATGATGAGGACATTTGTGATTTTGGATCCGGAGATTCGGATTCAAGCATTTTTACCCCATCCGAGCATGACAGTAAGTTCTTCAGATTTTCTTCTCTTTTGCCTGAAAACCATGAGTTTATACCATGAGCTACGCATATACCCATATATCCGCTTTGCTTTACCACTTTTTAGGACACTTTTAATCTGTAACTGAAGTTCAAAATAAGCACAGACATTGCTATCATGCTTTCAGCCACAATTTATGTTAACCATTTAATATTATCTATCCATGCTTACCGTCAGGAATGTTCTAATTGGGAGTAGAATAAAGACGACAATGGATATATGTGTCCAGATCATATACTTACTCATGTTCTTAATAAGTTTTCTGTAGTCAATTAATCGCTAGAATGAGCTGAGCAGCATGCACCAAACTGAATAGTTACTAATCATCACATGAGACATTAAAATCTTTACATCTTGCATGAGTTCCAAGAGGAAATTGATCATGAATGATTAACTGTGCATGGTGGTAGTATATGTAAATAAATATCTTCAAATGTCCTTTACTTCTGCATGTAAGCTGCATATTGTAGACTTTAACCCTCATGTGATGTAGGTAACATTCATATCTATTATTGAGCAAGAATTGAGTGCAATGTCTAAAAGGATGTTTATAAATATATTAGGCGTATTTGTCTAGAATCTGTAAGGTCGAGCGCCACATCTTCTGCTCAGCTGGAAAATACCTTTTGTTTCCTGTGCCTTGCTCAATTCAGTATGAAAATACTTAGATCACATGTTATCTGTTAAAACAAGTACAAAGTAAGCATACATATTATTTACAAGAATAATGTTATCTTTGTTCTTCTTTTTAATCATTATTGTAGTCATTATTGTGTTGTAAATAAAAATAAAATTTTGCTTGAACTTGCTGACCATCTTTTCTTTTTTGTTACTGATTAATTAAGAGTTTTGTATTCAATCTTTCGTATGTACTGTGTTGTACATCGTTTATGTACTGTACTGTTTTAGTACCAGAGTTAGTGACCATGTCTTCTCCTACCTCCATTTCTTCTCTTTCTTCTCCTCAAACTACATTACAAACTGTTACTGAAGGTAGGTAAAGGGATTGTAAGAAACAATGGCATTTTTTTAATGAAGCCCTTTTAAAATTTTATTTTCGAAAAGTTGTTCAATGTTTATTACAGCTAAAAACTTTTACCTTAAAATGTAAACATATTTAACTTTCATATATCATACCTTGATTATTTATATGGCTAAATGAAATTTTTTTTATATACTCATATTACACACATTGGAATCACTTTTAACTCACATGTATTAATACATTTTGACACAAAGTTGAAAACCAATAACATGCATACAAATTTTAAGTTTTTGATTTTAGTGCAAAACATTAATCTAGGGCAGTCTACTTTAAGCCAAAAGAATAATCTATATGATAAAGCTCTTAGCTCATATCAGCTATAGCTGGCCAAACGTCTGGACAAAATTGGCTGACTTTGTTTAGGTAACCCATGGGTACCCTGGGGGAACAAAGGCTAAACAAAGGAATTGAGTCTTTGCCACAAACTCTGATTCTTTAATCCCTATATCTTTAGAACCCAATGTCATAGACCTTAGATATTTCAAACTATGAATAGTGTTAGTTCAAGGGATCTAAGTTTGAAATATTAAAGGTTTACACCATTATTAGGTTGCCAAGATATAAGCATTAGAAAATTTGAGTTTGTGAAAAAAAAACTCAATTCCTTTGAATTTTTTTTTCTTAAAAATTCTATTTTTTTCAGATATATGTTGCGTAAATTGGCCAAACGGCTTGACCGATTGGGCTAAATTTTTTTGTGGACACTCATGTGTGGCTGGGGTTGTTATTCTTTCAATTTTTTTATTCCACGGGCAACGCCAGGCCCTCTAGCTAGTATATAATGAAATAAGGGATGCAAAAATTGATTTAAATCCTTTAAATCAATAAAAATTTTATTAGTCTTTTCAAAAATTATCAACTTAAATAAATTTATTTTAGATACAATCTGGATAAAACCTGAAGATACAAATGAAAAAGACATTTGGAACGTTATGCCTATTGATGAAACTACCCAGCCAAGTGAGAAATGCTACGATGAAAAGCACAATGTGCAATGTGACGAAGTGACCCAATCCCCTACTGAGGCCCCTAAGAAGGATATAAGGGGCATGTCTGGAACAATGTCCCTTGTGATCGGTATTATCTTGGGATCGTTTATTGCCATGATCCTGATCGTCATAATTGTTCTGAAAGTAAGGACTGGGGTTGATATTACAGAACTGAAGCAGGTGGCTGCACAAGTAAGTATTCTGTCAGTTTTTATAAAAAATCTCTTAAAGGGACTACTGACATAATTTCAAGTAACCATTCGTGCCTCTAATAACATCTGAGTGAAAATGAGGAGTATTTTATAATTGAAACTGAAGTTGAAAATTATCAATTTTCTTATCAAAAAACCAAAAATATCTCCATCTTTTTTGATATTTAAAGAGGGTAGCGACGTTAAGGAAGCATGTACAGTTTTGAATTAACTTATAATTGCATCGACAATAATGAGCAAAAAATACATATGTTCTTCTTCCCATTTTTAAATCAGATAAAATATAAATTTCTTTGTATCGGAGCAAAAAATGTAAGATATGAAACTTCTAATAATAATATAGACCAAGAAAAAGAATGCGGAGCATAAATAAGGTGAATTGAAATGTAATGTCCTGCAGTATTGCATTTATCCTTACTTATTGGTCTAATTTTTAGTAACAAATGTTAGAAACATGATAAACTTTTCGTAACATTATTCTAAATATATAATTTTTACATTATTAGGCTTCAGTACAAAGGAACTTTTTACTCTCACAAAACTGATTTTGAAATTTTTGCAACCCGACTACGCTTACCGATATTTTAAACTATGATTTCTGTTAGATCAAATAGTTTACGGTAGAAAAAATCAAAGGTTTGTGATTTTAAGGTTTTAAGATATAAGGGAATGGATTAGTTTAATAAGTGATAAGATTCTTCCATGAAAACCACCACTTAAGACAAAGAATGTGATCTTCAAAATCGTCATTGAACGAATATAATTTTCAGAATAACTAAATAAAGTTTTATAGATTTTTTTAAACATCTTAAAAAAATCTTTTTGAATTTAGGAGGAGATGAAGAGATATCAGTTTTCCTCTCCCTCCGGAACAGAACGCGAGGATTATCCCTCCGACACCGGAACCAAATCCCTTCTCAACGGAACTAAGCACAACAACAACAACAGCTTGTTCAACGGTAGTCTCTCAAACGCCCTATCTGGGGATCGCGCAAAGTTATTTAAAAAAGCAAATAGTTATGGAAAGCCTGTTAGGGAATGGTATGTTTAAACTAAAATGTGTAAAAGAAAGGAAAAATATTTTTGCAAATAAACTTGCTGTTAGTTTTACGCTCAAGCTAAAAGAAAAGTTTTTTGGGTTTGGTATGTAGAAATAGGAATCGTAGCGGCGTTTTCAAATCATAAATCAATCAATCAATCATTTACTTAATAATTTAACATAATTACAAAAACAATCAAAAAGATTTTAATCAATATTTCTGATGTACAATCCATGTCATAATATATGAAAGTAGAATATTAGGAGAAAACAGATTTAATCTAAGGAATGAAATTTTGCCACAAACTCTAATTATTTTGTGGTAAAAACTCAGTTTCTTTGGGACAGTACCATAGTAGCACCCGGCCCTTGAGAAGGAGTAAGGTTTTTCCAACTTCATTCCGAAGATTTTAAATCCCAAAATCATGAACTCTTAGTAATTTTCAACTGTTTAATTTTACCATGTTTATCTCGTATATCATTGTTAATATCTTTAATATATGCATTTATGATTATATATTTTAATTGGTCCAAGCTGTACATTTTTTACATCTATATTTCTATCTTCTTCATATAGCTTTTTATATTAAATGTATCGAAATATTGTTATAAAATTATGAAAAGGTTGTTCTTGCCAAAACTAAAATTGAACTTGACTGTTTTTATCAACTCCTAGCTTCAGCAACTTTTAACAAAAATCTTTCCAAAACTTTAAATCAAAACTTTGAAACCAATTATTACTTCATTAGATAAGGAGCTCTAAGCTTGTCCTTTAAGCATATCTTTCATTTTTAAGGTTTCAAACTTTTAGTTTAAAGTTTTAATTGTCCGATGCTTTTTTGTTCTGTGTCCTATTCTACAACAAAAACCAGAGCTGTAAACAAATATGGTTAAACTAGTAAACAATCAAGAAAAGACCAATTTTCTAAAAAGTCACAAATCTTAATTTTTAATTTTTTTCCTCCTTAAAGAACTGGTTTTTGTCGTATACAAATAGTTTGTCTGTTCCAAAACAGAGTTGGATTTTATCATCTTTTATTCAATAAATATGAAGATTGAAATTTATCTTATTTTCTAGAAGAAGTGTTAAGATAAGATAAGATAAGATAAGATAAGATAAGATAAGATAAGATAAGATAAGATAAGATAAGATAAGATAAGATAAGATAAGAAAAGATAAGATAATAGATAAGATAAGATAAGATAAGATAAGATAAGATAAGATAAGATAAGATAAGATAAGATAAGATAAGATAAGATAAGATAAAACGAGATGAGATGAGATGAGATAATTCAATAATTAAATTGCCTGTACAGTGTATACATTCAAGTAAAAAAACGAGGACCGCATTATCGAAAATACAGGAATTGTACTTTGATCCATTTCAAACAATCAATTTAATTGATATGATTTAATATATTTGGAAATGTTCTTAATCAAAAAAACTTCAGTTTTATAACTGAACCTGAAATACCCTGTTTTAGACTTATAAATCAGGTGCTGGAACTAAGTTCTTGATACAAACTCAGGTTTTCCAATCCCTATATCATTAGAACCTGATGGTGCTAGCCTTTGATATTTCAAATTTAAATATTTTAACCTAGCATAATTCATTGTTTGAAATATCAAAGGTCTACAGCATTGGGCTGTAAAGATAGAGGAATTAGAAAATCAGGTTTGTGATAAGAACACATCAGTTCCTTCGTGCTTTGGAATATCACAAAACCTCTCGCTAAACGTTAATCACGAAACCTCTCATGAAACTAATACCAGCAAATGATAGGCAGGAAACCTTTCATTAAGTGATTAATAAGCAGAAAAACCTCTCATAAAGAGTGAAATAATATTCATAAAACCTCTTATTAACTCATAAATAAGCAGAAAAAATATCAGTAAGCAAGAATTAATATTTAGGAAACCTCGGGTCTGTCCTAGTATACGATTTTTGGACCCAACCCCCCAGGCCCCCCCCTCTCCTATAAATTTTGTTCATGACCATTTATTTTTCATCAAATTTATTATTATTTAGGGTTAGGTTAAGTTAAGACACTTTCTGGGCCGAGCGCTGCGGCTAGGACGGGCTAGGGGGCCGAGCGCTGCGGCCACGGGTTAGGTTAGTTAAGACACTTTCTGGGCCAAGCGCTGCGGCTAGGACAGGCTAGGGGGCCGAGCGCTGCGGCCACGGGTTAGATTAAGTTAAGAAACTTCCTGTCAGACCCATGTACAAAATTGATAGGAGGGGGGCGTCCAAAGGGGGGGGGTTCAAAAATCGTATACTAGGAAATTACCGAAACCTCTAATGAAGAAAAGTTAAATGATATCAGGAAACCTATTATCATACAGTATAATATGTCGTGAAATCTCTCCTATAAAAAAATTAAAGGATATCCGGAAATGTCTTATCTACAGAAAATCGAGAAATCTCTCATGTAAAAATTTATAATGATATCAGGAAACCTCTTATCTAGAGAATATCAGGAATCCTCTCATGTAAAAAATTAAAATGATATCAGGAAACCTCTTATCTATAGAATATTATGAAATGAAAAAATATCAGGAATATTCTCATGTACAGAAATCAGGAAACCTCTTGTCTGGAAATTGAAATAATATCAGGAAAAGTTTTATCTACAGAATATTAAGAAACCTCTCATGATAGTATAACAGGAATATTGTGATATACAGAAATCAGGAAACCTCTTGTCTAGAAATTGAAATAATATCAAGAAAAGTTTTATCTACAAGAATATTAAGAAACCTCTCATGATAGTATATCAGGAATATTGTGATATACAGAAATCAGGAAACCTCTTGTCTAGAAAATTGAAATAATATCAGGAAAAGTTTTATCTACAAGAATATTAAGAAACCTCTCATGATAGTATATCAGGAATATTGTTATATACAGAAATCAGGAAACCTCTTGTCTGGAAATCGAATTAATATCAGGAAAAGTTTTAACTACAGAATATTAAAAATCTCTCATGATTAAATATCAGGAATATTTTCTCATATACTGAATTCAATGAAAGAATCAATGAGACAAATATTTAAACAAATCTATAGATATATTTACACTATTATGTTTTGCTTGAGTGAACCAAGAATAGGGTTTATTTCTATTAGCGCTGTGAATTTATATTTTTTAAATGTTTTGCTACGAAAGAAATTCTCACGCCAAATTCACACAACTTGGCAGCGTGAGTGTATACGTTGATATCGGTTGAAAGTTTCAAGTGTTTGAATGTGTGTGGTGTGTGTCTGTGTGTGACGCTTTTCCACCAACGGTCTTTCCCCATATGTGTCTCAAAGGCCCTTATTGTAACTGTGGGTGTTTGACTGGCACAATGCAGTGTATGTCTGTGTAAATTATACGAAACATGATGATTAACGTCTCATGACGATCCTCAATAGTCAAAATTCTTATACTTATATATATTTACAAGTAAAGTAAAAAATTATTTATTTATGAAATAAAACAAAAACATACAAAACAAAGTGTTTCAGGAGAAAATATTTAATAACCTCTAAAAGTAGAGGTTGTGGGAATATTTCTCACCAATTCTAAAAAAATATAAAAACAGAAATAAAAGGAAAAGGAAAGGAAAGGATAAGGAAAGTTACATATTTATTGTTTACACTATATTTAACATAAATTAGTGGTGGATTGTTAGTATTTTTCGGCGATGAACTCACAACTTTTAGAAATAAAAATTATAGATTTATTTTGAATGTTAAAATAAAAAAGAAAAAAAACGCTTTATGGAGTGTGAAAGAGATATAGGTTCTATGAAAATGGGCATTTTTAAGCATCTTTTAATTCGCGCTGATTTTTGACACTCTTTATGTTTGATTATAATTACTCTTTTTAATATAGACAGATATATATGATACAAAGTTAGATAGAAAAATTGATCAATATAGATAGATAAATAGAAAGACATATAAAGATATATTAAGATAGATGTAGAATAATATAGCTAGATGTAGAGATAGCTAGATAGATAGTTGGATTTATGAATATTTTGAGGTGGAGGGTAGATAGATAGATAGCCTTGCTGGAGGGTATTTAAACTTGTGTAAGGGGAGTGTGGGCTTTAAATATGACATAAATCTCGAATTACGCTTGAAAAGGCCTGTTGAGAAGGGGGGGGATAAAGGAGGGGACAGGGGTGGAAGATTAACGAAAAAAGGGGAGGGGGGGGGAAGAAGTACCTGAAGAAAAGGGGGTCAAAGTAACCAAAGAAAGGGGGGGGGTAGTAATGTTGAAGAAAAATTATATTAAAGAAAAGAACATTGCAAAGTGCAAGGGAAAGAACTTCTGAAAGGTATTTAGGATGTATCATAAACAGGGTTACCAACAAATTTATAAACCACTAAACAAATTTCATTCACAAAGAAATTATGAGACTTCATAATCCACCTAAACAGATTTTATTCTGTCTATTCTTTTTCATAATTCCCTGCAACTGTAAACTTAATTAATTCTTTCTTTGCCTGCAATCATTGTATAGATAATAAAAAGATGTATTGTATAGGTCAAAAGACTAAATTTAACCTTGAAATCCTCATATCCTCAATTATAAAAATAATTTCAATTATATTTTTTTAATCTTTTTTCACAAATTTGTGCAGATGATTGCATTATATATTGTATTTTCGTTGCTGCAGTCTCAGATTGTTAAATGATATCAATACAAAACGCAATTAATTCTGGCTGTTATCAATCTATTCCTAACTGAAAATAATAGGAAGGGGGCCGGGTGGAGGAAATTGTCGGTTAGAGGAAATCCCCCCCCCCCTTCTCTCCCCTTCCACTGACGCGGACTTTAAAGCATCCCTTAGGTCCATGGGATCGAAACTTTTAAATTTCCCACCGGGTTTCTCACCAACCGTCATTCTATTTCTAGTCTCTCCTCAATTATTAACAGTTTACTCCTGGAGTAAATTTAGCTTAAATAAATTCTTTGACAAAACTAAAAATCAGTTTAATTTATTGTGTGAGATTTAGCTTTTTTACTGAAGAAAAGTGTTTTTTACTCGAACTTGGGCGCAATCCTTGAAACTCCCGCTGGAAAATTTGAAATTTTCTAGTCTCGCCCCTTGATATTTCCCACGGATTCCCAAAGACACGGTTGGCGCGTGCAAGCACCGATGGCGCGGTTCGACTGCCGGCTTCTGGAACCGGTTCTGAATCAAAGTATGCCCCTGGGCCATTCTCTTCACTCACATAGGTAGAATATAGTAGGACTTGAAGAAAAGTAGCCCTTGGCCCATAATACTGTCCATTTGAAATATTTATATCTTATAACGGCCGTTTCATTTTCTTCTACTATTTTCAAATATCATACATATTGTATTATATATATTATATCACGCGTACATGCAGATCCCATTAAATGTATAATAGGAATATTATTAAATACTATCTTCTATAATAAAACAAGACATTCATATATGTTGCGCATAGCCGGCCAAACGGCTGGACCAATTGGGCATTGGGCAATTGGACATTTTTCTGGACATTCACGGGTGGCCGGGGAGTTTTTAAGCCAAAAAAAAATCGTTAATTATATGTTCAACATTTGTTCAATTTTTTTTATTTCACGGGCAACGCCGGGCCCTTCAGCTAGTAATATATATAAAACGGAAATTTTTCCGGTTTACGTGACGTACTCACGTTTTTGTTCTTTGGATCACATGATAAAAGTTTCCAGACAAAGCTGGGTTTCCGAGCTTAGTTTCGAAATATAAAATTTATGAAACGTTGCATAGGAAAATTGGTTTTAAATTAAAGAATGAATTAATTTGCATGGAATTATGTGCTACTTTAGCTACGCTCAATAAGGACAAAGTTTAATGATTAAAGTTTATTAAACAATTTGAAAAAAACTATATATTATATTTAAAAACATGGAAAATATCTGGTGGCTGGAATCCCTTTATCGAGGGGAGGAAGGCCAAACACAACGATTTCTCGTCCGAGCCACATTCTCCTTAATTTCTCGTCCGAGCCACCTCGAAATTCTCGTCCTTTTATTGTTATTTTT